GGTGTAACAGATCACTCCAGCTCCTGGGCCGGGAGTAGACTAAAGAGAAGGGGCAGCATGGGCCGGGGATTTAGCTCAGTGGTTTCACCACCTGCTGCGCAGGCTCAAGGACCCGCGTTCGATCCCCGGCACCAAAAAAAAAAGAAGGGGCAGCAACAGCAATAGTAACCATTAGGAGTAGGCCAGGCTCTGGCCAGTGGTGGGGGGTGGAAATGGCCCAAGTCTGGGTAAATCCTGGAGGTTAGGGCAGGATTTCCTGAAATGTGCCTGAGTGTGCAGGATGAGTATAAAAAGATGCAGGAGGACCACAAGACTGACTTTCAGATTGGAAGCCTGGGAGCCTTGGCAGTGTGTGAGGCACGTGACTCTTGCCTCTTTGGAGCTGGTGGAGGGTGTTGCTCAGGACAGTGAGGGGCTGTGTCTGTGGAGTTGGAGGCAGCGTGTGGTGTTGGTGCTTAAGGCCACTGGCCTGGACCACATGGTCAGGGAGTGGGAATAATGGGCCAACCCCGAGTCTCCGTTATGGAGACGGTGGGCTTTGAAGTGGGTCAGGCAGACCTGTAGACTGCCTTGCAGGGGCCACCTTGGGCCGGGGGGGAGAGGTTATGTCCCAGCAGGAGAGGATGGTGCTGAGGCCCTGAGACCGGGAGTGCTTGGGAGAATGGGGGTCAGAGTGCAGCAATTGGTGCTGGCTGTTGGAGAAGAAAGGGCATCCTGAGGGTGGGGAGCTGACTATCCTACAGGGACTGGGTGGACTATCCTATAACTAGTTCTTCCTGTGTGTTCCTAATTACTTGGGGCACATTTCCAGAACCAGGATTACTCTGTTGAGTGCCACCACATATGGTAGGGGCTTCGTGCTCGCCCAGATTTCCTCCAGGAAGACATTTTGCAGACCAGCCCTCGCTCTCTGTTGGCTCTGTCGCAGGGAGTCCTCTGTGTTTGACTTTTCTCCCCCACCCTCCTTTTTCTTTTCTTCTTCTTCTCCTCCTCCTCCTTTTCCCCTTCTCCTCCTCTTTCTGTATCTCTCTCTCTCTCTCTCTCTCTCTCTCTCTTTGGTACCGGGGAGCAAACACAGGACCTTGTGCTTGCAAGGCAGGTGGCAGAACCACTGAGCTAAAAATCCCTGGCCCCTGTCTCTTTTTTAAAAAAAGATATTAAGAATTTAAGCCAGGGCCTTTGCTCGGAGCTACACTCCCAGCCCTTTTTCATTTTTTATTTTGAAACAGGATTTTGCTAAATCACTTAGTTGGCAAGGCTGGGCTCAAATTTGTGATCCTCCTGTCTCATCCTCCCGGAGTGCTGAGATTACAAGCCTATGCCATCATGCCTGGCTCTTTTGATTATTTTCTTTGTGAATCTCCTCTTCATGTGCTTAGTTATTTGTAAGATGGCCAGGGATTTAGCTCAGTGGTGCCACTGTCTGCCTTGCAAGCGCAAGGTCCTGAGTTCATTCCCCAGTACCAAAAAAAAAAGTTATTTGTAAGATGATTCATCATTTTCTGCATTCATTGGTAATGTCTTTATTAGCTTTTTGTCATATGTGGCAAATACATGCCAGGTTTTCCTTCTCTTTGTTTTTTATGGGGTTTTTTTTTTGTTTTTTTTTTTGCGGTACCAGGGATCGAACTCAAGACCTTGTGCTTGCCAAGCAGGTGTGGTGCCACTGAGCTACATCCTGGGGCCTTCTTTGTAATTTTTACATTGAAGAGCTAGACTATTTTCTGACTTCAAAGATACTTTCATCTGTTTTCATTATTATTTCTGTCTTTGTCATCAAATATTCAAAATAATTCTTTACCCCCAAACTGTATCTTTACCTAAATACTGTTGTAGTGCTTTTATGATGTAATTTTACTTTAACATCCATTGACCATTTTATATATTATTATCTCTGCAAGGTAGGAATCTAATTTTAGATGTTTGTCCAACTTTTATCCTAGACCAAGCTATTCATGTGTCCTTATATTTTAACGCAGTAGCATGGTTCCTGAAGTCATAGTTTTGTTTTTCCCTTGCAGTGGGGGTGGCAGGTGAGCTGTCAGGGCTAGAGCCCAAGGCTTTGGTTTCCATATGTGTGCCCTACCTCCTGCCCAGCTCTGGTGTGAGCCGCAGAATGTGGGGTAGTTCAGAATCTGAGCTCTCAATGTGGATGAGCTCGCTGTAGCTCTCTTGGATCTACTAGCTGCTGTCATTTCCCATCAAACATTGGGCACAACAGCAGTGCCTGTGATGTGTTCAGTTGGGAGGACCAAGTGGGCCTGCACATGGGGGTCCATCCTAGACCAGGCACAGCACTTGCCTGAGAAATGCCAGGTGTTGCTTCCATTTGCCTCGTAACAGGCCCGGTGCATGCTCATGAATTACAGTGTGCTCTGAGAACTTGTCAGATGAAGTGCTGTTGTGACTTGTCCCTTCCTGCAATTCTCAACAAAGAAGCCACACACTCAGAGTTTTGCCCACCATCTCTAAAGCAAGGTGGTACCAGCCAATCAGAATTGCTGCTGTCCTACCACAAGCCCATTGGCACAGGGCTCACAAAGACTTCAGTCCCTGCATTTTTCTTTGATGTCAGGACCATGGCGCGGCTGCTTCCAGGTGTGGCCTGTGGCAGGTAGTGAGGCATGGAGGAAAGACTGTGGTTTCTCGCTCTCCTGGTGTTTCACTCCAGGTAGAGATAAAACTGCTGACACTTTGGTGGCTGCCAGACTTAGAATTAAGACATCTTCCTCCTAGCGCATTCCATCTGACATTTGCTAAAGCCCATAAAAAGTAATTGCCTTTAAAAATGGTATGTACGGGTAGGGATTGGCTGGCTAAAACATTTGAGTGAAGGCATGGGGGAGAGATAGAAGTTACCTGTTTTTCCCCCAGGGAAGAAAGGGGAATATAACACCTTTATTTTCTTGGGGAACAGAGAAAGTACAGTTGGGTAGTTAAATTTGAATGAGATTAGAACGACACACAAAAAAGAGAGGGGCATTTAACAAGAAAATTCCCTAGAGGGGAAGATTAAAGTGAACAGGTGCTAGAAAAATGTTTCTGCATATTAGAGCTTAATTAGATTTGAAGATGAATTCCAGATGGGCTAATTATGTGTGAGCTGTTGCAGGTTATTTCTTGTAGGGGCAAGCATGTATTTTTGGAAATGGTGATTTAGTTTGATTGGGTTGATTCCTGCCTTCTATCATATCTCCTTCATCAAGAAACTGCCTCCTCTGAGGCCCCAGCACCCCACTTAGCAGGGTCCCATCTTTGGGAACTCCGTCCAGCTGGCAGAGCCATAGGACACGAAGGCTGTCCTGACTGCATGGCCATCTGTGTGGCAAAGAACAAATGACCCTTACTGTGTGGGGCAGAAAGTTGTTTAGCTTCAGGAGGGGCAAGCAATAGTCTGTGCTTGCAGGGACGTGGCATTTGCCAGGGAGGGCACAGCCTACTTGACATGAAAGTGGAGTCAGAGCTGTTGCTTCGTGTGTATCCAGCTGGTTAGCAATATTTGAACTGTTTCCACTTGGAGGAAAGGGCCGATCCTTGTTGCTGGTGCTCAAGGTGGCAAATAGAGAAAAAGAGGAGACTGATAAACAGAGACATATTTCAGACCAGAAATTTAGCACAAGGAACAGGACCACTTGGACTCAGAGATGTCCCACTAGGGTGACGGAGTGGGTTGGACTTTGGAGCGGCTTGTGATGATCTCCTGAAAAGTTACCACAGCTCTGGGCCCAGATGATGTGGGTGTGCTAGGAGTGGCCTCATGGACACTGGGGGCATGTGCTTGGCAACCAGTTCAGGTCTGGGAGGTTCAGTAAACGAAAACTTTTATGTAAGGGCTTGTAATTGGAAATTATGGATATGTAATTTATATATGGCTCAATGAATGATTTATATAATGCTAAGTGATGATTTAGATAGAAAATATGGCCCCTCCTGTAGAATCTTTAATGAAAAATGTTGGTTCTGATGAATTTATTTCTAGAGCTCTGTTGGAACTCAGCATGTTTGACGTAAATCAGATCTAATTGTCATTTTATGATTAATGAACATATGCTGGCTGTTTTTCCCCATAATTAAACTTTATGTTCTGTGCATCTGACAAAGCAAAACAAGTTTAGACTTTGACAGATTGGTGGCAGGGGTTTTCCATGCCTGCGTATTTGTGTGTATGTGTACTCATTTGTGCACGTCTTTGCTAACGTACAAGTACTTACTTTCTGTAGTCGGGTTTTCAGAGGCTTGAGTAACATTTATAAGAGTTAACATTCAAAACGTGGAACTTGGAGTGACTGCAGAGATGGAAGGGCACAGGTCCAGCCCGAATGGGGGTGTGGCCCTGCGGCCTTGGTCTCTCAGTGTGGTGCCAGGCTAAGTGCTGTGCAGAGGGGGTGGGGCCAGAGCACCTTTCTCTGTGGAGGCTCCCAGTGGCCTAAACACATGGCTCTTTGCTTTTTTTTTTTTTTGGTACTGGGTATTGAACTCAGGACCTTGAGCTTGCGAGGCAGGTGGCGGAACCACTGAGCTAAATCCCCGGCCCATGGCTCTTCTCTCTTAAAGACCTCTAAGCTCTAAGAAATGTTGCCAAGTGCGTTGGTTGCAAAAATATATACATTTTCCTTTTTGCTTTTTATGCACTTCAACAAGGATTTTAATTTAAAAGGTGAGCTATTACCAGGTGTGGTGGCGCATGACTGTAATCCCAGCACTCGAGAGGCTGAACCAAGAGGATTGCCTTGAGTTCAAGGAAAGCCTGTACTACAAAGTGAGAACCTGCCTAAAATAATAATAATAAATAAATAAATAGATAGATAGATAGATAAGAAAGAAAGAGGTGTGGGCCAGGGATTTAGCTCAGTGGTTTCGCCACCTGCTGCGCAAGTGCAAGGACCCGAGTTCAATCCCCGGTACCAAAAAAAAAAAAAAAAGAGGTGAAGTGTTGTAGAAGGAATATTATGTCACTAGTCACTTTCACTCAGTGGCCATTCATCTTTGATTATTTTCAGGATATAGACAAGTTTGGCAACGAGATCACCCAGCTGGCCCGGCCCCTACCTGTGGAGTATCTGATCATAGACGTAAGTGCCCCCATGCTCACCCTGCACAGGCTGCCCCTCAGGTGCCTTGGTGGTGTGGACTGCTGGGTGGGGCCACTCAGGGAAGGCAGTACTCTTTGTGCTGCACGTCAGCCACATGTGCTGCCAAGGGATGTATTGTCGCTGAGCCCCCAGTGTTCTAGAACATTCATGGTTTTAAGGACTATTTCTTTCAGTTTCAGGTTTTTATATCCTTGAAAACAACCTGGGGATTCAGTTTCCCCATACTGAAGTGCACAGGACCCTGCCCCCAGCCCAGCAGCCTCTGGAAGGCAGCGAGTGTGGATTGCTTGGGGCTGAGTCCTGAGGGTGTCCCAGCAGACCTTCCACACTCTCTTGGCTTAGTTGGGGCCACCTGCTGGCTGGCATGCACAGATACTGTCCTAGCCAGAACATGGCTGTGACAACCATAGTGCTCCTGGGACTTGGTGTTCTTTAAAGTGAGGGTCAGCGTGGTTTCCTGGGTGGAGCTCCAGGAGCCGAGACGGGTGGCTCTGCTGCTGCATTTCCCATAATCTCTTCGCCTTTCTGGAGGCATCTCATGGTCAAAAAGATGTGACTGACACATTGGCCACAGGGCAGTAGGTGCTGCAGGACAAAACCTGTGTGCTTGCAGCAGCTAGGGTTATTTGTACAACCAGCTACTTGCACAAGCTCTGTCCACAGGGGTAAAGGTAGCTCATTTCTTACACTGCTCTTGTGCCAGGATCCATTCAGGCTGTATTTCAGCTCAGGACAGGCATGGATTCAGGCAGTAAAATATCATTGCATTTGGAGCAGTGGATCCCCTGAGCCAAGCCCATTGATGCTTGTATTCCAATTGACAGCTCCCAAGAACATATTTATTACCTGGGCTATAAAGGCATCTGTTTTTTAGACTACCGAGGGTGTAATTAAGATGAAAACAGATTGATGGAATATACACTTAGGGGGAGTTGGCATGATTTAGCTGCTTCCTGGCCCCCCCCAATCCTTTTTCTATAGGAAGTGAAGTTCTTGCCATAGTGTGCTCTTTAGTGCTTTGTTTCTTGGGGGGGGTCCAGATTCTGCCCTTGGACCCCAAGTTCTCTGTCCCTGTGGAAGGGAGGTCTGGAGAGTCCACAGGAGTGTGTTCAGCTCCTGGCCTAGCCCACCTAGGCCAGGTCCAGCTGCTGTGCTGGTGGGGCTGGGGGTAGGGGTGGTATTTGATGAAACCCAGAACCTTACTTTTGCTAGGCAAGTGCTCTACCACTGAACTATATCCCCAGCCCTTTTTCAGATTTTATTTTTGAGACCTGGTCTTGGTGACTTGCCCAGACTAGCCTTGAACTTGTGATCCTGCTGCCTCGGATGGAATTACAGGTGTGCGCCACTATGCCTGGCTGCTATTCTTGAACCTAAAGATAAGGGTGGCTATTTCAGGCAGGGAAAGTACAAACCAGTGTTCCTGGGCTTTTGTGGAGGTATTGGGACATGGTCCAGTTCATGGCCCCAAGACAGACTGGGTAGGGAAAGAGCTTAGGTACAGGATGAAGGAGCTAGACCTTTGGGGTGGTCACTTGGGTCCCTATGGACTTTGATTCTGTCATTCTCCAGGGGCCCCTTAAGGAACCAGCAAATGCCTCTCTTGGTTGACTAGTTTGTTTGGTGTTGTGTGCTCTGCAATTGGACCTCCACTCCTGCCTCTGCCTTCCCAAAAGGAAAGCCCAAGCAGTCTAGGATTTTGTCTCTGTAGTATGGACACACACACACTCACCCCTATCTTTAGAGCTACAACTGCAGCCAGGACTGAGTGCCATGCATGGCGGGCCTGCACTGGGCACCTCCCTTTAAAGAGCTACTCCTGTCACCTCTGCCTCCCAGATGAGCAGAGTGAGGCCATGTAGCCAGCACAGGTCGCTGTGGCCCAAGTCCTTACTGTGAGGCTGGTCTGCACAGGCTTGTCTGAGGGACCAGCTGGGCCCCTTCAGCTCATCTTTCCAGAGTGCTGACGCTGGCACAGCTGACTGCAGAAACAGCTCGCTGCCTTTGCTGATGCAGAAAACAGACTAGACAATGTTTCATTCTTTAGAAGTAGTCCCTCGGGCGTCACAATAGCTACCCTAAATCTGAAGGGGTGTGACCTGCCCCTGATAGTGTCACATGCAGAGGAAAGCCACGTCCGACAGAGGTGGTTGATAGCTCACACTTGGGTGATTTTGTGGGCTGAGGCATCTGCTGAGAGGAATAAAACCTATGTTTGTATTGATTCCTTCACATTCACCATTGTCCTCGTAGCTTCTACTGATCACATGTTGGATTTAAAATGCCCTCTGCTGTTCCTAAAGGATGTTGGAGCCAAAGGAAAGACTTTGGTCACCTTTGATGGAAGCTTTCAACTCCAGGTCACCCTTCCGTGAGCAGCTTCCCAGCAGCCCGTTGGAGTTGCTCTGCTTCGCAGCTGACTCCACACGGGCCTCCACGCCCAGGGAAGAGAACTTTGTACCTCCTGAGATGGCCTCCTCCCTCCTCCATTCCCTCCAAGTCGTGCTCTTGGCTTGGGGCAGAGGCAAGCCAGCTCTCTGCTGTCCATGGCAGAGTGTGGTGCTGCAAGACTCTCAGACAGCCCCAGCATGCCGCTTGTCTCCCAGTGTCACAGCTTCAAATGCTCCATTGGGGACGACAATAATAGTTAACTGACTCTCAATATTGAGCTTGTAGGACTCTCAGAATCCTTGTGTGTGTGACTCGCCCTGGCATTTGCTGGGACTACTTGAGTGAGCCTGAGCATATCCACATTGTTTTCAGCAGAGTTTATCTTGGTTGTGTTTTCCTTCATTAGATCACAACAACCTTCCCCAAGGATCCAGTTTATACTTTTTCTATTTCGCAAAATCCATTTCCTATTGAAAACCGGGATGTACTGGGTGAGACGCAGGTAAGTTCTTCAATTTTGTTTTCCCAGAAATTGCCACACTGTGAAACTAACGTCATTTTTCTTGTGACGAGCCCCATGAGGCCCTTTTTGGGGGCACTGCTGATCACATGGGGACCTCTCCTGCCCAGGTGATGGATGGCTGCAGTGCAAGTCCGTGGCCTGCAGTCTTGCCTGAAGTACCGTTCTCAGTCGACTGCTTAATTTTTCCAGAATTTATTAGTCACTGTGTGCCTTCTAGCATTAACCTTTCCATGGCTTGTTTGTTAATAAATGTATATTTGGGCCGGGGATTTAGCTCAGTGGTCCTGTACATGCCTCGCAAGCACAAGGTCCTGAGTTTGATCCCCATACCGGGAAAAAAAAAAAATGTGCATTTCACAGAGCTGAGCAGCGGTGACAGTCTGGCTTCCCTGTTGCTGCGCTCCACCTCGCTGCATTTCTTGGCCCCTTGGCTCCGTCAGGCCTCCTCGTTGTAGCCTGATGTGTAGTACCCTAGGGCTCGTGGGCTCAGGCTGCTCTCACCACCAGGTCAAGCCTGACCAGGGTTGCTGTTACTGCCTTGCACAAAGGCAGTCTGGGCTCCTCCACCTCCTAGATGGCAGCTTGGTGCCCATGTTTCAGGGCTTACCTGAGGAATTCCTGTTGTGAGGTCTTCTAATGTGGTGGTTTATTGGTGAGGCCTTTTCTGGTGCTTTGGTTCCTCACTCCTGTCTCCTGTGGCAAAGGGAGCCCTTTTGAAGCTCCCATGCTCATTGCTGTTGGACATGTTCACATTGGGCCATGGCTGCCCTCCCTGTTCCACCTCCACACTCTGCTGCCCTAGCTGAGAAGGGCAGCCAGACAGGAAAGAGCACTCTGCCCTGAAGTGGTCCTTTTCCTCACCCACTCCACTTCAAAGGAAAGAAGCATTTGCATCTGTCTGTCTTTCTTATGCTGGGTAGGCTTACCCACCTGGTTCCTCACATCCCTTGGTCCTTTCACACCTTGTCAGGCAGATGTGTTGAGCGCTTCCCCTGCCTAGGAGGCTCACATGCTTACCTTGTGCAGTTTGTGCCTCTTGGACCCTCTCAGTGGTTAAAGAAGAGAAGGTGAGGGCTGGAGATTTAGGTCAGTGGTTCCACCGCCTGCCCCGCAAGTGCAGCCCCCGAGTTCAATCCCCAGTACTTAAAAAAAAAAAAGAAGAAGAAGAGAGGGTGAGATGCCCCTTAGCATTACATGTTGTCTTAGAAGGCGGTAGCTTCCCCCAGGGTCTGGGCTTGGAAGTGGTAAGATAACAGGGTGTCAGTGTTTCTTCTTCTCTCCTGCCCCTTTGGTTCCAGGACTTCCACAGTTTGGCCACCTATTTGTCTCAGAATACCTCATCTGTGTTCTTGGATACCATCTCGGATTTCCACCTCTTGCTGTTTCTGGTCACCAATGAAGTTATGCCTCTACAGGTAGGGTTCAGGGTAGAAAAGATGCCCCTTGCCAGGGATTTAGCTCAGAAGCATAGCACCTGCCTGGCAAGTGTGAGGTCCTGAGTTCAATCTCCGGTACCAAAAAGAAAAAAAGAAAAGATACCCCTTGATTTGCTTTTCTTTTCTCAAACCAGAGTGTGGTGGGAAGCTGGCTGGAAGCTGGTGTCAAAGGGCATCTCCCTGTGGACTGTGTGGGTGTGTGGGGGCAGCAGCTTTTCAGGTGGCCTGTGATGGAGAGATGGATGTTGCCACCGTGGCCTCTGTGGCAAAGGACCGTCTTGGTTATAATCTCCTAGAAGATGAGTGAGTTGGGAGAACTGGGGCCCCAGTGTAGACAGTCTCTGCTCTGACAGTTTTAAGAGCTCTTTGCTGACATCTCCTCTCCTTCCCTCCCAAGTCAGTGCTATTTTTTTGCCTCAGCCTAGAGTCTTGGCCAGCTTCCAGGCCCCACGTGCACAGCTGCACAGTTGGCATTTGGGAGGCAGGCCAAGGAGGAAGGAGAAGGCCAGGGCTTTGTAGAGGGCAGGTACTCTGAGACATCAGGGTGGCAGGGCAGTGGGTCTCACAGGAGGCTTCTGCCTGTGCCAGGGGGTGGCATCCTCCTGAGGCCCTTTCTTGTCTTCCCAAGACTCGCAGAAACACCAGGGAGGGAGGGAGGCCTCATTCTGAACCTGATAGTGCTCACTCAGCACCTTCCCCGACGGAGACAGAGTAGAACCCTTAGGGCTTTTTTGTGTCTGGCAGTCTGTAGCTGTTCTTCCATCTTCTGGGTTTATTTTGTAGCTATTTTGTCACCAAACTACCTGCTCTGGTACTGGACCTCAGGCACCTTGTGGCTTTGCTGCCCGCTGTCCCTCCCTCAGTTACCCCCAGAAACTGTGCCTCCTGTCTCAGGGTCAGCCCTCCCACCCAGGGTCAGGAATGACAGGCAAGGCTCCCTCTGTGTCAGGGCAGCCTTATTAGTAAATGTGACAGTTTTACAGTTACCCTTAAAAAACATTTGGCAGACCTGGTATGGTGGTGCACACCTGTAATCCTAACATCCAGAAGGATCACAAATTCAAGCCAGCCTGGGCAGCTTAGCCATGTAGGAGACCCTGTCTCAAAATAGGAAATAAAAAAAGAACTGGCCTGTAGCTCAACAAAGGACATGGGTTCAGTCCCCATTATCAAAACAGGAAAGAAAATATCCATTAAATGTATTAGGAGCTCTTGAAGTCTTTATCAGTCCCTCACTATTCTAATTCTCTGTGTTGATTCTGGAGGCCTGGGATGTAGAATGTGCTTTCCAGACATGATGGAGAAGAGAAGGAGGCAGAGGGAAGTGTGAGAAAGAGGCTGGCTCTCAGTCTGGTCTCCCGTCTGTCTTTCCCTTCCTCTAGGACCAAGGACGTGAGCTTCTGACCTCTGGGATGTTGGGCCCTCCGTCAGCCTATGACAGAGGCAGATGCCCACTCCGGCCTGCTTGGGAAGAATTTAAATTTAGCTCACTCTTAACATTTGTGTTTGCAGACCCCAGTTGTGGCATTTTGTGTTACCTAGTGACAGCCTATTTGATCGATCGATTGATTTACAGACAGGTTGCTGTGTAGCCCAGGCTGGCCTTGAACTTGTGACAGTCCTCCTGCCTCAGCCTCCCAAGTGCTGGGATTACAGGTGTGCAGCACCACACTAGCAGCCTGTTCGATTTTTAAAATTCCCTGTGAAATGTCTTGACATTGAAGAAAAAGAAGTTGGCAAGAGCAGAGCAAGATGGAGCCTTCTTTTTGGCTTGTTGCAGGACAGCATCAGCCTGCTGCTGGAGGCAGTGAGGACCAGAAATGAGGAGCTGGCCCAGACGTGGAAGAAGTCTGAGCAGTGGGCCACCATCGAGCAGCTGTGCAGTAAGTCATCCGTCCATATCCGTCCTTCCCTGGCCCATGCCCCAGGCTGCAGCTGCAGCCCCTTACACCCTGGCCTTCTGACTGGTGCATCCAGGGGAGCTGGGGCTGAGGGGAAAAGCACAGACAGGACCTCACTGCTGGGCACATGCCCTGCTCACTGATGTGCACAGGGTGTGGCTGTGCTCAGCTCTGTGAGGTGAGTGTAGATGAATACGCCAGATATGTGCATCCTCACATCACAGGGACCCCCATCTGAAAAGGGGCCTGTGTTTGCCATCCCTGTGAGACACTTGGTGCTGACCCATACTTTAATGGGCAAAGCCCCAATTCCCATGGCACCAGGTGACAGGACCCAGCTGTCACCTGCAGCAGCTTGTCCTTGAGAGCTCCTTGCGTTCCTCAGTGCTCACCATTCTAACTCATTCAGCAGCGGATTGTCCAGCCTCATGCATAGCCCTTCTGATAGGAATTACTGTACAGTGCCGTCTGTGACAGTGTCACAAGACATGTGGCACTGGGAGCACCCTGAGTGCGCCAGGCAAGAGTTCTGTGTTGAAAGCTAGTATGTTGCCAGAAGAGCTAGTACATGGGAAACATACCATCTTTCTGGCCTGGAAGAGTCAATATATCTTTAAGGTGTCAGTTTCCTTGCCTTTTTACTTTTTTTTTGTATAGGGCATTCGAACTCAGGACCTTGTGCTTATGAGGCAGGAGGCGGAACCACTGAGCTAAATCCCCAGCCCCCATCCTCACCTTTTTAAAAAATGTTTTGAGACAAGCCCTCCCTGGTCTAGGGATTTAGCTCAGTGGTTCCGCTGCCTGCCTCACAAGTTCAAGGTCCCAAGTTTGATCCCCCGTACCAAAAAAAAAGAAAAAAAGATTACAGGTGTATACCACCATGCCCAGCTTTTTCTTTTTGTTTTCATAAAAATCAACAAGTCCTAAAATTCATTTAGAGGCAGAGGGCCTAGAATAGTGAAGACAATCTTAAGAGACAGCACAGGACCTGGAGACCTTACACTGCTGAACTCAAAGCTGCAATGCTTAGTGCTTCGGGCCATGTGAGGTTGAGCAACAATGAAGGACACCAGAGCGGGGCATCGCTGGCAGGAGGAACCTGAAAAGAGGGCAGCCTTTATATGGACATGTGTTGGGGCAGCTAGATGTCCATGGGGACCCAGTGAAACTGGAATTCAGCAGTGACCTGCGTTGTTTACAGAGACCAGCTCAGGTGGGCTTGTGGGCCAAATGATGAGGCCTAAAACTAAAACAGTGTCTTGCTGGGTGTGGTGTACATGCCTATTTTCAGGCCCTTGGGGTAGAAAAGATTTTTAGACAGGATGTAGGACTTTGGGAGAGAACACAGAAAAACACTTTCTTTAAAAAATTGGTAAACTGGGCTGGGGATTTAGCTCGGTGGTTCTGCCGCCTGCCTCCAAAGCACAAGGACCCGAGTTCAATCCCCGGTACCAAAAAAAAAAAAATGGTAAACTTATGGCTGGGGATGTAGCCCAGTAGTAGAGTGCTTGCTTAGCATGCACAAGGCCCTGGG